TCCATGGAAAACAGATGATGCAGAGACCCAAAAGTTCAGTGCCTTGCCACAACAGGAGGAAGATCAACCCACACCTACCACCCCCTCCAAGGCTCAGGGACTTTTTCAGAAGAGGTTGGTGGAAGGAATCTAAGAGCCGGTGGAAGGGATCTAAGAGCCGGAGGAAGGGGTGGAATGTTAACTGGAAATGTCCTCCAACCACTAGGCTGGCAAGCTATAGTTACACCTTCCCATGCTCACGGAGGAGTCGAAGAGGGAGTCAGTGACCCCTCCCACCCAATCAGTCAACCTTAGCTGCATGTGGGGGAGGGGCTAAGGATATATAAGCTGAGAACACCAGGAGGCACCTCTCTCTGGCTGTCTGGAGGTCACAGGATCTGTATTTGAGTGTGAACTTTATGGCACAGCTATAAATGTGGGGCACCCACTCTTCTGTAAACAAACTCCTACCCTATGCTCTGTTTAAAAAAAATAAAAATAATAAATTTTTTTTTTTGTCTTTTCGAAGCAGGGTCTCCCTATAGTCCCAGCTGTCCTGGAACTCACTATGTAGACCAGGCTGGCCTTGAACTCACAGAGATCCGCCTGCCTCGGCCTCCCAAGTGCTGGGACTATAGGTGTGCGCCACCACGCCCAGCTAAATAAAAATTTTTTTTAAAAAGAAAAATATACCTATGATGCCCACTAAAGGTTATGCATATTTCAAGATTTATCTCAAGGCTGCAGAATTTTAAGTCTGCCGTGTTTCTGCCCCCCCCCCGTGTGATTTCATCATGTGTATGTTTTGATTTTTGTTTTTCAAGTACTTTTGTGGACATGAGACCATTTGAACCTTCCAGTAAGCATAGGATGTAGGCATGACGGTATATGTGTACTTGCCATCCTATCATTCAAGAGGCTAAGGTAAAAGGACCTCAATTTGAAACCAGCCTGAGCTACCTAGCCAGACCTTTCAAAAAGAAAGAAGGGGGCCGGTGAGATGGCTCAGAGGGTAAAATAATGTGCTGTGAAAGCCTGACAACCTGAGCTCAATCTCCACAAACCACATAAAAAAAGTATGTGCTAGTGTACATCTGTAATCACAGCACTCCTGTGGCAAGAGGGAAGGCAGGAGAATCATGGGACAGGTAGCCTGCTATGCAGCACAGCAGAGATGGGGAGAGGCTCAGCTCAATACAATAGGAAACAGCTCGCTCCCAAAAGTCCTGTGATCTCTGTATGCACACTGTGGCATG